CGTTGCTTCATGTGAACGAAGCGCTTTGCTCAGCACCGTGCCCGGGCAGATTCCCGATGGATGCTGGCTTAGCGGCCCGGTATTCCCACCGTGCCAGGGTGGGCAGGAGTCGCTCAGGGCGCTCGCGGTGGCCAACGGAGCTCGTCGGCTCTGGCTGGCTGAGCCGTCTGCCTGGGTGGAGAGGGCCAGAAGCGGAGGCCACCCGGCCACGGTGCGCTGGGTGGCCAGTGGAATGGCCAGCATTCCTGTCACGGAATCCCAGAACAGCTGAGGCGGGAAGGGACCTCTAGGGATCATCCAGTCCAACCCCTGCTCCAGCAGGGACACCCAGAGCACGGGGCCATCTGTGCCCATGTCATGAAAACCCCCTTCCCATACCCTGCTCTCCGATGGTTTCCTTGGCCAGGAGGCCAAGGATGGAAGGGGACAGGCCTCAGCGTTGCTCAGCAGGCGGAGATCTGGGCCGTCCAGCACACAAGGTTACCATGTTGTTTATCATGGACCATTCTGCCATCTAGAATGAACCTCTGACGCATACATGGCTTTAAAAGGAATTTTTTAATCAAAGTTTAGAGGCAGCGTGGCCTTCCTGACGCCCTGAAGGACCCAGCTTTGCAGGCGGCCCCTGTTACTCAGGCAAGCAGCCTGCTAAACTCTTCCACATTGCAAGCCCAGTGTCACTGGTGCCCTTTGGATGTCTTGTCCCACAAGGGTTGTCAAGGCTTGGCCGGTTTTGTTGAAGCTTAAAACATCTTGCTAAGCAGTTTCTGGGTGATGGCAGAATTTAGTGTCTTGCTTGCTTTAGGAAACATGAAATTTACAGGACTTCAGTCTTTTACTAGGTAAAAATCTATTTGAAAAGAGGAATAATCAAGATTTTCTGCCTTTTTCATCTCCAGTTGACATTTTGGCTTCATCCGAGATATTAAAAAAAAAATCTTAGCTTGTTCTGCCTTATGACAAAAGATGTATTACTGCTATTTAAATATTTTTAAATTAATCCAAGGAAAATAATAGTAGCTTAACCTTAAAATTCACAATGAACAGTAAAATCTGTCGTTTAACACGGAAGCTATAGGTTCTCCACTGGTTTGGAACTTCTGAGATGATTTCAGGCAATATAGGGCAAAGATTAAACACCAGGATCTCAATGCGAAACCACTTTATAACGGAGAACTGCGCCGGAGGATGTGCCAGCTCCTGAATTACCTGCTCTGAATTAGGACCCTGCAGAGAGAAAGGAGATTTGCTTTGCTCAGCCTGAGTTCCCAAACGGGTGGGAGCCACACGGGAGAAGTGGGTCAGGCTCTGCAGTCTTTGAACCATGTAATTCCCCAGAGCTGGTCTCTGCGTAACATGGCTTAAAAACACTGCTGACCTGATCGTGACGGGGTTAACATCCATCGGACAACTAAAGACTATTGCAGCGTCTGCTCCGGCCTCGACAAGGGCCCTCGTTTGGGCTCTTTTGCTGCTGAATGGCACTAGAGCACGTGCCGCGCTCTGCAGGTCAGCGGTGCCAACACGACACTTCAAAACCTGCGGCAGGCCGACCGCCTCGGCCAGCGCAAAGGAAAACACGGGCTGTCCCGGGCACGTGGGAAGCTCTCAGAAAGATCGCGTCAGGTCCAGTCCTCCTAATGGTCTATTAAAGTGTTTTAACTTCTCTGTAAAAATATCAGTTATCTCAATGGTTGCAACGTAAGTGGAGCTATTAAACTGCAGAGGCTGGCGTGTGAAAACGAGCGCTTTGCAAAAGGGAAGCCAGACTCGAGTGGTTTAGCCTGTCTGGTTACATTCAAAAGTTTCACCAGATGACTCCTCATTATTATTATTACTATTTTTAATGGCGTTGCACTTAGCTGTTAAAGGGCTTGGTGTGTTTGAGGCTTGGGGTGTGTGCCGAGCTGGCCCGCGCCCGGCGCTGGAGCGAGGGCAGCCCACGCTGCAGCCGGCGTGGGCTGCGCACGGACACGTTGGCCCCAGCTCCAGCCCTTCCTTTGCCCCTGCTGATGGAGAGGTGCAGCTCGCCTTCCCTCAGGATAGCAAAAGTGCCAAGGTGGTGCCTGTCAAGCGTGTTGCCTGCAGAATATTCCCATCGTAGGGTTATCGAACTCGGTATCTTGCCTCTGGTGATACGTTCCACAGGTAGAGGGAAGCGCTAGGGGATGACGGATTGCTAGAGCGTCTTGCCTGGCATTTGTCCTGGTGGCAGGCACACTGATCCCTGATTAAGTTTTATTTCAGTTCTTTCCCCCGTGGGTTTCAGCAGAGCTGAATCAAGTCCCGTTTTGCTAGGGTCAAATTTTGCTGGCCCTGGCCACGATTTCATGAAATGATTAGTGATGCACGAAGCATCCATCCCCTGAAAGTCGGACTTTAAGATGGTTCAAACTGCAAGATTTGCAAACATCTTGGGCCATACGAAAATCACCGCTGATTCTGTAGCAGGCAGCATGGTTCTGAAAGCTGCTTCCCCTCTACAACGGCATCTCCTTATCTCTGTAATCAACTTCCAGAGCAAGGTACTCCCCTTTAAAAAGTGATGAGACAGGGTTTTATCCTCGTAATTTATCTTATAGGCAACTGGAGACTTCATGTTTGTTCAAGTTGGATGGGCCATTCCTTCCCTGGTTGATAAGGGAGGGCAAAAAAAAATGTCTTTTGCACGCATAGATGATGATTGTTTGTGTCGCTGTAGCATTACATGGTGCTGCCTAAGACGAGAATGAGACATGCCCAGCCCTAAGGAACATTCAGCTGAAACAGATGTAGATGACAGGAACCACAGGGGAGTTCAAAGGAGGGAGTGACTTGGCTTTCACTGCAGTTACAGTCTGAGCAGTCACCAGGCAAGAAGTGAGACTCTCGGGAAGAACTGAAAGACATTAACCCATGTGGAGATGCACATTGCCATTGCTGTTTCCATGAGATGATGAAGAAAATGGTAGATTCTCAGCTGCATAAGTAAGTTCCCAGAAAGAATGAACTCATGGAGGAAGGAAGCTGCAAAGAAAGTGTTAAGGCTGGAGCAGAGTGTTTGGGAGCTAGAGAAACAAAAGGAAAATCCAGGAATGCTCATAATGTGGAACAGCCTTGGGGGATTTTTGTGTCTTCAGACAAAATTAGCGAGCGCAGTTTAGTCTGGGGGCCTTCCTGAAGCTTGCTGAAGTCAGCGTAACCTCCCCCTGCCTTGATGAACCTTGTGCCTCCTCCTGAGGCTACCTGGAAACCTGAAAAATGTGGTGCTCTGAGAGCTCCTCTTAAAATTTACAAGTAGCTTGCCCGTGTGAATGGAGTTATGTGATCAAATTATTTTGAAGTGGCTGGAATTGCTTTGAAGAAATGAGGCGTTCTGGATCTTCTGGCACCTCATTTGTCACTCCTGATGGTTCTGCTGCCTCCCGGCAGCCTGGGCTCTGAGCGCTCCAGCGCCGCGAGCGCTTCCCTGTCTCCACACAGGGAGCAGGCAGCAGTTGGCCACGCTCCGCACTATCAGGGTACTGCCATTTTCCCAGTACTCCAGAGGATGCCAACTTACCCTCCTTGACTTTCTGTGTTTCACTGAGCAGAACCCCCTATTTCTGGTTAATGCCATCTGTGTGACACCCTGCTCCGTCCACTGGCTTTTTCTCTTCTTGGGATGCACCAGCTTGGGCACCTGGGAATGCAATCTAGAGACTCCTGGGAAAACAGCGTCTTGCCCAAATTCTGCCTTGATCCCTTTGACCTTCTCTCAGGCGGAGACTGCGTTAGTGCAGGGAGCATTGGCATGGGCTCAGCCACTGAGGCTGAGCGCTAGGGAGAGGTAACACCATGAAAATGCTTTCCAAATTAAACCAATTCTCAGAAAGAGAAGAAGAACCATGTGAGTTAGAGCCTCCCTGAGCCCTCGAGCAGGTCCCTGGTTCTGGCCTTGCTCGGTGCGCGCAGCGTCCCCGCCGTGGCCCCGCTGGGCACCCTAACGCCTCTCCCCTTCTCTCGTTTCCGCTGCAGGTGCGATGCTGCTGGGAGGAATCCTCTACTCGTGGCAGTTCCCTCACTTCAACGCGCTGAGCTGGGGGCTGCGGGAGGACTACTCGCGCGGCGGCTACTGCATGATGTCGGTGACGCACCCGGCGCTGTAACGCCTCTCCCCTTCTCTTGTTTCCGCTGCAGGTGCGATGCTGCTGGGAGGAATCCTCTACTCGTGGCAGTTCCCTCACTTCAACGCGCTGAGCTGGGGGCTGCGGGAGGACTACTCGCGCGGCGGCTACTGCATGATGTCCGTGACGCACCCGGCGCTGTGCCGCCGCGTGGCCCTGCGCCACTGCCTCGCCTTGCTCGGACTCTCCGCGGCGGCTCCGGTGCTCCACGTCACCACGTGGACTTTCCCCGTCGTTTCACTCCCCATCAACCTGTACATCTCCTACCTCGGCTTCCGCTTCTACAGGGACGCGGACCGCAGCAGCTCAAGGAGGCTTTTCTTCTGCAGTCTGTGGCATTTGCCCTTGTTGCTGCTCGTCATGTTCACGTGCAAGAAACCTCTCCTGGAGAAGGAAGAGAAAGGCGATCTCCTCGGTGGAAATCATGGCAGGGCTGTGGAAGTTAGATTGCCTTAAATGTCAACTACTTGTCATCAGCGTGACACATCAGGTAGCAGTGTATTCTAGTGATTACGGGAGGGGGAGCCTGTGGTGATCTGTTTGAAGACAAATCGTTCGTGCCTAGTGACCACTTCATGTGATAATTTTCTGTGTTCTTCTGAAAGGGAAGGGACGTGAGAGCTTAGAGTGCTCATGGGCCATAGGCGCCTTTCGCTCATCACAGATTAAATTCCAGCCTCTGTCAGAAGCACATCCCTTTCTGATGGCCTTTCCAAAGTCTATGGCTCTCAATCTCACGTCTCGTGGGTAGGATTTTTGGTTAATATGTCATATACGCACACTTACCAAGTGCCATCACTGGCAGCCTTGGCAGAGAAGTCAGGAAGCGACAAGTGAATGGTTTGTCACCCTGGCAGGGGAGCATCCCTTCTGCAGGAAGCCTTGGGTGCAGCGGCTCTGTGTTGTCTCAGTCCGTGCCGTCCCTGCTCTGTTGTTACACAGAGACCTCCAGTTTCTGAGACGTTTCCCAAGGCTCCCATTCACGTCAGTAGGTTGCAGGGTTTCATGTAGCCTTCACAACGCTAAAGAAATAAAACTATCTTACAGCACACGACACATCAGCATCTAAACAGCCTGCAGATAAGCAGATACTCCATTACGTGGACTTTGGAAGCCCCTTAGCCCTTTTACTGCATAACCATCACAGTGAATTTCTGGTTTTATGTCAGCAGGATTTGAATCTGGTGTGCCAGATCTTCAGCTGGTGAAAACTGATGTTATTATTTATTCCAGTGAAATTTGAAAAGGTGTGCCAGGGAGGAATTGGATCCTGGAGTCCAATAGTCTTAAGGCTTTTGCGTGCTAATGTGTCCCGTGCCAGCCCATTCACTCTAAACGCCCATCTACCAAAGGCTTAATCCTTCTATGGGATGAGATCTGGGCTTGCATCAGGGATTTGAACTGTATTTAGTATCACACCATGGGGGTTCAGAAATATACTTCATGGAAAAAAAAGGGGATTTGGTGGGAACATTTTTATCAAATATTATAATGTTCAAACTTCTGATGCAGCCAGGGTCTTTCAAAAATTTGTTGTGGACGGTCCTATTAGGAAACTGCATCACTTCTGTTACCTGATAGGACGTAATACATTTCTGGGCACGGTCTGATACACTTACAATGCTGTTGTGGGGCTGTGGCCAGCCCTGAACATACGTGAGTTTGACTGTGACCAGCTGGGATACTTCCAAACGCAACAGCATCTACTGTAGACAAGGGTTATGTTATAGTTTGTTGTGGTAGTTAATGCCTGTTACGACTTGTCGCGTTTTCATGCCAAGATTTCTTTCCCATGTGGAAAGGGCCTGGGCAGCACCATAGTGCATCACATCCAAAGACGTCTGCTGACAGTAATACCTGAAATGGGAGACAGTTTCTCTAATCTGACCCCAAATAAAGCCCTTCAAGAAACTTCACAAATCTGCCACCATGTGCTTATCACGCTGACGTAAAATCTTCACCGGGTGCTTTCATGATCCAAGCCCGACTTCTGGTCTCGGTTACACTGGTGTAAATCAGGAGTGACACCGTTAACCTCCGCTCTGCTGGCCGAGGTGCTTCATAGGAACAGAGCCACCTGTTTTACATGGCTCTTAAATAGCCAGTTGCAAGATTTCCTGCCTCCCTCAAGTGATTGCAGATGACAGGATTGAGTTCCCTGGTACTGTTTATCTGACGGGCTCCATTGTACTCAAGTTACTTTGGGGAACACTTCATAGAAATATCTGGAAACCATACAACTGTGCACCTCCTTAATCTGTTTTGAAAGTGCATTCAGGCTTTTCTGCAATAAAGTGCGTATTGTACAAAAAAAAAAAAAAGGGATTGCACAAGTGCTGCCTGTGTGAGATGGTTCGGCTAATCGTGGAGGTATTGGATGCTAGCCTTGTGCTCGGGAGCACGGTGCTCTTCTTGGGCTCTGCGAGGGCAAGGGCAGCTTGCAGAGAGAGCAGCCGGCAGAGCCGGGCGCGGGGCCGGCCCGTGGACACGGCGCGACATCCGGGCCAGCACGGCTCTCGTTAGTCCCGAGGATGCACCTGTGCTTCACGGCTATGATGAGCAGCTCTCTTCATTTCTGGGGCCAAAATTTGTCATATTCTCAGATGTTAAGGCCAGACTGAGCTTTATAGTCACCACGGAGTGTCTGCAAAATGCCAGTTACCGCATTGCCCCGCCGTCCCCTTCGGTGTGTCTGGCCTGTAGCGTGAGCACAGGAAGAGCACAGGAATGGGTCTGGATTTTAAAGATAAGAAATGCCTTGGTTTTAGAAAAAGCTTTTGCCAGGTAGCTAGAGCCGTGCCCCAAGATGGCCCTATATCAGGTACGGATGAACTGAGCTATTGTAGTTTAACTGTTTTAGGATTTGACTGTGAGTTGATGGTCACCTCAGTATCCTGGTCTTTGGGTCGGTTCTGCTGGCTTGGTCCACCTGGAGCCAAACTGGCTTCGTGATGTGGCAGGGAAGAGGTGCCATTTCCTGAGGCGCTCCCACGTCCCTGGGATGGCGCCGTAGCGCACGGCCAGGGGGCTGTGTGAGGCTCACAGAGCAGCCTGGGCTGGTGGCTCAGGAGGCTGAGCCCATTTTAGCCCCTTTGGGTTTTAAACCCCGTGTGTGACCGGAGAAGTGTGTTTTTGTGGCTAAAACGGTAGCCATAAGGCTCAGGAGTTCCTAATTCTTTCCAGATCTCCGAATGAGAAACACGATCTCTCTGTAAAATAGGTCGATGATGTTTTGTCTCGTTGGGCCTGTAAACAGCACCGTGGCTCAAGCGCTGAGAGGCCCTGAGCTCCTGACCTTCCCCTGCTGCTCCAGTACATCGGTATCAAAGCACTGATATGAAAACATCCAACTTTCTGGACTTCGGCTGCGCTATCCGAGCCGGAGCGTGCTGTGTGTAAACCCCACAATCTCTGCTCCTGACGGCCTTGGGAGGCAGCGCTCGGTCACGGCGCGAGCGGCGGCACGGCAGGCCGGGGCTTGCCGTCCCCCCTGGTGCTGTTTGCTCTGCTTGATCTCCGTACAGCGCTCGCCTCGACGGGCACTCCGGGGCCTCGGCTGCGTTCCCTTTCCCCACGTTCCTTTCTCGCTTCCTGTAGCAATTCCAATGCAATCTGCCTCAGCAGGGCAGCGCGGTCGCGCTGTCACGGCTCCCGCAGCGCTCGGCCAGGCCGGCGTCTTACAGCTCACACAGAGCACACGCGACTGCTCAGTTCTTGTGGAAGCAGAGCAATACAGTGCGAAATTGGTCCTGCCACAGCTAGAGCAGTGGTTATCCGGGTTGCTCTCCAGAGACGAGTAGATATTCACCTTTCCTTGGCTATCCACAGAATGCTCTGCTTCTAAAACGAAGCAAAGTCGTCACTGCCTCCTGCCTCACGGCTCTGCTGCCGGGGGTTGTGCTGGAAGCTCTCCTTGCAGGTGGTCCCTGATGGCATCTCTGCTCGTGGGATTTCTGAACTGTGCCAGGAGTTGGCCCTGACGTGGCCTCGCTGGGTCCAGCTCCTGCCGCCCCTGCTGACAGCAAGGCCTTGGCCCGGCGCTTTCCCTCTTGGTGCTGCCGATTCTTCTCCCAGTTGTGTCCGTTCAGGATGTCACTTCTTCAGTCATGAGTGCTCCCTTGCTAGGTGCAGCCACGCGCCGAGGCCTGCTGGGACGAGTCCGTTTTGCCGCACACGAAGCAGAGGCTGGTTCCGATCTTCATCATCGCTCAACCTGCACGTTGTTAATTTGGAGTCAAAGCTGACAACTCAGCAGTAAGGCCAAAAGTGTTGTCAGTGAGCACCCTTCCCATGGGAGGCTCTCTCAGACTGTGGCGTGCTGTGCAGTTCCCGTGGAGTTCTTGGTCCTCCCTGGGATAACAGGGACCACAGGAGTTGGACACGAAGCTTAGCAAGCTCTGGCGCTGCCTTCCAGACCCTTCCCTTGAGCCAGCTGCACTGCTCGGGGAAGCCTTCTCGGACGTAAGGTGGGTACTGCGCTGGGCTGGAGCATGGGTTTGTCCGAGCTGCCGTGTTGCAGGGATCCCCGTGCTTGTGAAGGGCCCAGGGCAGGGGACCTGTCCCCCACTCGAAGAAATGGGGATATTTTGAGTGCAGCACGTGTGCAGGGCTCCAAGGCTGTTGAATTTGCCATCAGAAATATATGTGTTTACTAGAGCTGGCAGGAGCAGCTCTCCTCAGCTGTGCCCTTATGCACTTTCCGTCACCTCTAGTTTTCTGCTTCCAGACTTTAACTGTTTGTGCTGAAGATTTTCCAGACTGGTCAGTGCCTCAGGCTGGAGTTTAGTTTCCAGTGTTTCAAAACACGCAGTTCAGCTGCTTCACAGAAGACGGTTGGCAAAATGAGCTGTTTTCCCACAATGTGGAGATGTTTTTCCTACCGCTCTTAAGCAGCCCTGGCACCTCCAGGGTCTGGAACAAGAACTGAAGATCTGCCACAGGGCTGTCATGGGTTCAGGCTGGTGCATTTAACCATTCTGAGAAGATACGTCGTGTTTTGCCGCATTCTGAGTCTCTGAAAGATTCCTGCTTGCAAATGCTCGTTTGAGAGCTGCTGCTGGAAGAGAGCATCTGCTCTGAGCGGTGCCGGGCGCTGCTGGCCGAGCTCCTGCCATGGGCCATGTGGCTCAGGGAAGCGTGAGGACTGAGGAGAGGTGCGGGACACACTTAGCTCTTCCACTAACGTTGGAGATGTTGTCCTAAATGTAATGTCCCCCGTCACCGTTCCCCTTTCTAGGAGCCCTGTTGGGTCCTGCTCGTGCAGGGGGGCAGATGCTTTCCTGTGTCTCAGATCTGCGCTTCCCGAGACCAGGGACGTGTGGCAGTTAAGGTCTTTCCCCCCAATTTTGTTGTCCTCTGCTGGTGATGCTGTCCAAGACACATGGCAAGACGCATTCTGGCCTCCGCTTGCTTTTATTAACACCTTGTTTTCTAGCTATAGCTTTCCTTTGACGTGTGTTTTTTGGTGGGGGGGAAACATATGCTACAAAACTCACTGCTTGCACCAGTGTAAACTGCAGCTGCAGCTGGACTGTCTTTAGC